AACTAACGGAGCTAAATTGGAACTTCTGAGCATAAAATTTGCCATGTTACGAACTTGAAAGACGAAGACAGCACATGCGGGTGTGGCGTCCTCTTAATGGGCCACTCATTTGGTGAACCCTTCTCAAGAATTTAATAGGGTAGAAAAATCAAAAATAGAAATATTCTTTGCAACATAAAACTAAATATTTCAACTAAGATATTTCAGTTTAAACATTCACAGCTAAATTGTAGATTCTTTATAATTAGGTAATGAAATAATGAAATAAACTTTAAATTTCATTTTTTTTGTATAAGAAGAGCAATAATATCTTAATGTTACTTAATACTAAACATTTATATTAAAACAAAAACTATGAAGAATACAATACTGGATAGTGGATAGTATTAGTAATTAAATATATAAACTAAGCAGATATATCTTACTTGACAAGAAGCATGCAACTGCTTCAGGATTTTTGTCAGTTTAGTGTAATCAGCTAAATCAAAATACAATTTACCCAATTTCGTATTAGTTTTGAACCAAAGTCTATCATTCTTGGCATCTTTCAATGCATCTAATGTTGTTTCATAGAAATTTTGCAATAAATCCATCTAAATTCAAAATGATGACACATATTTTAAATAAGAGGTTGAAACATCTATCATGTTAAATAAACTTACATTTTTTGAAGTTGAAATATAATCTAAAATTGAATTTATAGATTTTTCACTATGATTCCGAGTAACTGCAGTTTTTATGTATGTTAATAATTGCTTATAACGATTCATCATTTCATCAAAGTTACTCTGAAATTTGAAAATAATAACAATAATAAAATTCTTTACTTTATAAACCTGCTTAAATAAAATTTATTTCACTTTATTAAGTACAAATTACTTGCTATATATGTTTTTATACTGTAGATTTAATTGTATTTATAGAATGTATATAGATACATTAACATTTAATATYTTTTGTTTAGTACAAAAAATAATTATAATAATGTACATTTCTTAAGTGAAATATTCAGATAATAAAGTTGAATTTAAAACTTACAAGGCGAAAATTAATTTTGATCATTTGTTTCAAAGCTTTGAAACCCCATTCTCCTTTTTCACCAGCTTCCAGATCTAATACTTTTTGAAATGACACTAATGAAGCATTAGGATCCTTTTCTTTTAGCGATTTTGAGTTATAATATTGATTTTCCAAATCCACATCAGGCTCAGAATTGCTATCTTCTGAATATTCCTATTGATACAAATTTAGAATATATTTAATACATACTTAAGTTTGTTGTACTACACTTCAAATACTTATAATTAGAATTTAAATTCTATTATAAAAATTGAAAAGAAAAGAGTGAAGGTATTTTACGTAGTCATGGTGTATATTAAACTTACCAGACCATAATCTTCGTCATCTTCACACATGTATACATCTTCGGTGTCGGACATTGTAAATTTAAAATTAAATTAAATTTTAGATTACATAACAATTAACAATACTGGAAACCGAATAAATATTATAGTAAATCATTTAGTAATTACAATTACAAATTTCTATCAATTTCCATGTACATTGTACACGGTTCACGTTCACACGACTTACGATTCATTTACGTTATCGTCTATCGGGTAATGTTGTAAACATGAAAACAAGAGATAAGAGCAACAAACTCTGTTTAACAAAAATGTCCAATAAAAAAACACACTGGTAAAAGTAACTGGTAAGTGGTTGAAGGGTGGTTACTGGTTATTGGAATGTCCTTCGATGTTATCAACATTATTTATTTAGCGAAAATTTATTGAAAATTATTAAAATTAATGGTACACCGATTTTTGATTTTTGATCATTGATCTAAGTTAAATTAACATTGCACTAATTATTGAATCAGCAGCATTTCAACATGGCTGTKTCCCGTGTGATTAACGGGATGTTGCGAACTAAAGTTATTTATTCAGTGTCTAGTAGGAGTGTTGTATCGCATGAACCCTGGAAGCCCGGCCCGTATCCAAAAACCGAAGAGGAACGACTAGCTGCTGCAAAAAAATATGGTCTGTTACCGGAAGAGTATGAACCACACCCCGATGATGGTTTAGGTTTTGGTGACTACCCAAAGTTACCAGACATTGGCCAAGATTCCAAAAGTGAATATTATCCATGGGACTGCCCTGAACATAATAGAAATTTTGGTAAGCCTATAAAACAGTTAGTTATATTCATAATCTTGTTGTTGTGAAATGGTTTTTACTATCTCATTAATTTTCTTAGGTGAAATAATGCACGTTCATGCTGACATGTGGGGCTCAGATAAAGGAGACCCAAATTATAGAGAAAAAGCTAGATTCCCTGATTGGCAGAGAGTATTATCATTGTTCGCAGCAGTTTTTGGAATAAGTGGATTGATGCTCTCTGGGGATTATGTTTGTAAACGATATAGACCATTTATGCCTAAACAGTGGCCTCAAGAAGATGTGAAATATTTTACTTATTCAGATAAATATTTCTGAAAWTGTATTACAATAAAGTTATATCTGCRTAGTAGCTGAAACACTTTAAATTTATTTATACGTTTGTTATACAATTTAAAGTTGAATAAAACATACATGAAATCAATTAAGAGTGTAATAATTAATAAAATACAACTACTTATTCGATTGATAGAATCTAATAACTGTTCATTGAAGGAAAAATTAAAATTAATAAATACCTATTTTCTATTTGTAAGAGTGTARGTGTTGTTGTTGTAATTTCTAATAATAAACTAAGAAATGTTTGAATTTATATTTAGTGATTTTTATTTCATAAGTTAGTTAATATATTGGCTACTAGATTCAAAAACTTAATGATATCAAATCATAAAAAAAAATTATTTTAATAAATATTAAATCAATTAACYTTATAATATACAATATTATAATTTAAAGCTAGTCAGGGTCATTCTGGTTGGTCTGTAGAAAGTTTTCCAGATAGCCTGGAGACTATYATGTTGATATTTTTTATAATGAAATATTTACTAAAACAGAAATGCATAAATAATTTATATTTTACTTCTAAAAATTGTTCAATTAGGTATATGATATTAGATTTTTACAATTACCCACCAAAAAAATCAGACTGTGTGTGTTTTTCTTTTGAGGATAAAGTTCATGAGAAAATTATGGGATCAGTTCAATTGTCATTGTTTGACAAATGATATAAAGTAATATAACGTGTGGTCGTGCTGGCAAAGTATGATCAAGTATTTTAAAATTATAATGAATTTCTAACTAATCTACTTATGCCCTATCTCAATTATCTCCAAGAAATTTTGATTAAGTGTACTATTTTCTATTCTGATTGATTTTTAATTAAATTATTTATCAAAATAAAAATTTTTGTTTTAAAGAATTAAAAAAKGTGGGTAAAGAGTTACTTTTATGCTGTACAATAGGTATCCAAAGAGATCACCAATGGATGTGTTAAATTTGAATTTTATGATGTACAAAAATGATTTCTAATGAAAACTACCTATATCATATATCTGTCAGACTTTTTACTAAGTATATTTTATGATATTATATTATTATATTATGGCTATTAAAGTAATTTATTTTACTATAAGACATTAGTAATACAATTGGTCAAATTAATTTTCGGCAAGACAATTGCATTATATTGTAATACATTTAATAATATACTTTAAAATTTTTAAGTAATAAAAATAGTATTTTGAAACTTTTTTCTTTGTTCATTATACCTAATATTGTTTTGTCTAAATTTGAACTTAAAATATCAGGAGAAAAATCATTAAAGATTTTTAGATTTCAATATGTACTACTTAATATGAGAAATTAGTTAAATTTTCAATCCATAAATGTAAAAATTTAATGTTTTATACATTTTTAACTAGGTACGAAATATTTTTCAAATGTTATGGGTTTGAATGAATTTTATCAAAATTTTAACTTTAAGCGTTTATAAAAAAATKCATGCATAATATGTATCATAAACAGGGGCGGACTGAGGCCCTGAAGGCCCAGGTGGGTATAAGTTTTAAAACTACCAGACAAGAGACTCGCGTTACAATGTTTATTTTAAATAAAATAACTTTTTAAGGAACTTATAACAAAATGAAAAAATTCTATAGGTTTATACTCAACTAAATTTAACATAATAAAATAAAACAAATTACTTCAATATTAAAAT